AACAAACACAGACTAAAGTTCAACCATGTCTTACAAAAAGGATGTGCTTGGAAATTTCTGTGGTACTGTGTTAGAAACCCTGTCAGTGATATTTTGCCTAAAAGTGACTCCTTTTACACCTAGCAGGACACATGACCCATTTTACTGTAAGACAAGTGCCCCACAAGAGTAGTTTGATTTATGGGGAGTATTTGTAGATTCCCAAACCAGCACAAATGGCACGGACACAGATTTATAGCCAAATGTGATGAGCACATCCACCTCAAACTGTGCCTCTTTTTCCTAAAATCTCTTTGAAAGAACCTTCTGAAAGGCCTACTCACCTGACCAGCTGCAATGCAAATCTTTTGAGCACTGACTCAAACAACGACTCGAGAGAAGGATCTAGGAAACTAGATGGGAGAGAATCCCCTCCGGTACTCTTGACAGGTCACCTTGAAAAGGATAATAAGACTGGGGAAGCAAAAATCCCAACACTTTGTTACAACATAGGAAGATGACTTAGAAACAGACTCTCCTGCAACTTTGCAAAGACTCAGTACACAAAGCCTGACCTTCTTTGTTCTTCCTGGAAGACTTCTGTAGAAGTCTCGGCTGTTTCTCAGTTCTCACACGTTGACTGAAGGGACAAAATCCTTTGGGGACAGCATTTTAAAACAGTTGATTCGCACACACATGCACAGGAAGCAAGAGACTGGTAGTGGAGGAGTTAAGGCAGCCCAGCTGAAAGTCCCTTCTTCCCCGCTCATTTTTTCAGCAGCTCGATTCTTGCAGAGTCATTATTTCACTAGTTATTCAACCATTACATGTTCACCTCAGAAATCCAGCTCCTTCCTGCCTAAACCTCAAATACACAGAAAGGTTTCTCACAAGGAGTCTTCTGTCCCTCCTCAGTTCTAAGATGACAAAGACCCACGTGAGACTCATTGCCCCATGTCTCAGTTTGGCACAGTGTTTCGTTAAACTGCCCTGTCCCATCTTTGTACTCTTGCCTGCGTATTCCTTCCTCACTGCACCTGGATCCAGCTTGTCATGCCAGACTAAAAAGGAGGGTGCCCTCCTCCCTAAGGCAAAGGACTAACAGAACTGGCTCTGAGGCTCCCTTTCCCAGTTCCCTTTCTGAGCCTGGGCTGCAGCAAATCTGCAGCTCCCCTTCTGCCCTATGCAAATCAAACCATTTAAATCTGCACTCTGTGGGTATAAAAAGCAGCTTTTAAGGACACCCTTCCCCAAGCCCAAATGGTCTTTATAGGCAGAAGGTGAGGATTGATGGACTAGAAGGTGCTTGGAAAGTTTGGGAGGGGGACTGTCCAGGTGTTTTAGGAGATAAGATTCTTGGTGACAAGAGCAAGAGTCACTGATTGAAACAGATCAGTGGCCACCTGCTTCAGTCCTGCTGGCTCAAAGCAGCAAGGAGAAAGCAAGAAAAGGCCCAGGACAAGCTGAAGTGCTGGAAGCACAAAGCAAGGAGAAACAGGGGGATTATTGCCCACCTGTCTGCAGGTAGGGAGGATCTCCAGCCTGGGGCAGTGGAACATGGAACACTAAGGAAGAGTCTGGGGGTGCAGAGAGGTGACAGGGACATGTGTGAGTTCAGAGCTACAGCCCTGCCATAACTCAAAGCAGTCAGAGACTCACAGACAAGGGCAGACAGATGTTACAATATTACTAAGACACACAGTACAATACAGAGGCAAGTCTTATACTGCTAGAGGATTACTAATAACGAGGCCTTTAAGAGCTTTTCCTGTAATGTAAGGGGAAGGAGAGAATGAAGACACTTCTAAGACAGCAGAGGTGTACTCACCTGAAACAGAAAAAAGCTCATAAACTTATTATTAGAGAAAAATATTACCTTTTTCCCTCTTTTTTGAAAAGATACACTTGAGGCAGGATGTGGACTAGCTGAAGGAGGCAGAGACACAAGACAAGATGAGGAGGAAGGGAAGGATCTGGGGAACCAGTAAGGGGAAACATCTGAAGTGTTTCAGAAGCGTGGATAGAAAGTGCTTTCAAAATGTAAAAACCTCTTCGAATTCACTCCTTCTAAACCCTCCCTAGGCCCTGAACTGTTCAGAAGGAGCGTGCACGCCCTCTTGGCGTTCCTACTCCTTTTCCATGAGGTGTTCCAGAAGGGTCAGGCCTGACACACCACCACCAATAACTTGGATATTTGGTATTTTACAGCTGCCGAAAAGCCATTTGTAACTCACGACGCCGCTTTCCAAAACCACCAGAGCAAGAGCATTTGGGTACGAGTGCACCCAAAAGGTGAGTTCACGCCAAAGCCTATCAAAGTCCAGCTCTCGCTTCGGGGACCTGGGCACGGTTCCGTCCCCAGGCACAGCCCCGCCGGACGGGCCGGGCTCCCCAGCCCTCAGCTGCCGGTCCCCAGCCCCGAGAGGCTGTGCCAGCCGTGACCGAGGGCTCGCAGCTGATGGCGAGGGCTCCGACACGGCTCCTGCCGCTCCCGCTCTCCCACAGCGCTCCCGGGGCTGGGAGCGCCGGGGTCAAACGGCGCGGCCGCTCCGCAGCGGCGGCTCCTCCCAGGGAGGGGCTGGAGAATCCCGGCGGGGGAAGCCGGGGGGCTCCCCTGCCCTCCCCACGGCCCCGGCGTGACCTTGCCGGGGAGCCCCGAGCCATGCGGCAAGCGAGCCCGCCCGCCCGCCCGCGGGGCCGCGGAGCGGGGCGGCTCCCGCTGCCCGCCCCGGGCACGTCCTGCTCGCCCCGCGCCCGCCGCCGCCGCGAGGCCTCGGGGCCTGCGCCCGCCCCCGCCGCCGCCCCGGCCGCCCCGCCGCCGCCGAGACACTCACCGGAGATACTGCGCGCACAGCAGGCTCATCCTCCGCCGCTCGCCGCCCGTCCCGCCGCGGCTCTCACAGCCCGGGCCGGCCCGCCGCCCCCGCGCCGCCGCCGCCGCCGCCTCCCGCCGCCGCCATCTTCCCGTGCAGGGCCCGCGGGGAGGAAGGGGCGGGGTGTCCCCGCTCAGCGCTCCGGCCGGGCAGGACGGCCCGCGCCGCGCGCCCGCGCCGCTCCGGCCCCTCAGCGGCCCCGGGCAGCCCCGGCCCCGCCGCTCCGGCCCCGCCGCGGCCCCGGCAGGCTCCGCTCGCCGCTCGCCCGCCCCGCTGAGGCGCCGCGGCCCTCCCGCCGCGCCGGCCGCGCTTCCGGGCCGGACCCCGCCCCCGCCGGCACTTCCGGCGGCGCCACCGGCAAACCCGTCCCCCGCCCGCTGCCATGGCAACCGAGGGGGCGGCGCGGCGTTGCCATGGCAACCGCAGCGCATCCCGGGGCCCGCGGCCCTGGGCCCGCCCCGGCACCCGCTCGGCCACGCCGCGCTTTGAAACATCCCCGTCACGGCCCTCCGAGGGGCGCTGAGAGGAGGCTGCCCGCGGCCCTGGCGGGGAGTCCCAGTCACAGAACCCCAGAATGGGTCAGGCTGGAAGGGACCACAGTGGCTCATCTGGTCCCACCTCCCTGCTCCGGCAGGGTCATCCCAGAGCACATGGAACAGGATTGTGTCCAGACAGCTCTGGAATATCTCTGTTGAGGGAGACTCCACACCCCCTCTGGTCTCAGCACTGCACAGCAAAGTTCTTCCTCATGTCCAGGTGGAACTTCCTGGGCATCAGTTCCTACCCATGGCCTTTTGTGCCATTCCTGGGCCCCATGAGCAGAGCCTGGGCCATCCTCTGCCCCTCCCTGCAGACAATGACACACTTGGATGAGATCCCCTCTCAGTGTCTCTTCCCGAGGCTGAACAGCCCCAGCTCCCTCAGCCTTTCCTGCTCCCAGAGATGCTCCATCCCTTCAGCATCCTCACAGCCTCTGCTGGAGCTCCAGGAGCTCTGTGTCCCTCCTGTCCTGAGGAGCCAGAGCTGCTCCCAGCACTGCAGATGTGCCTCACAGGGCCCACAGAGGGGCAGGATCCCCTCCCTGACCTGCTGGCAGAGCTCTTCCTGATGCACCCCAGGATTCTCTTGGCCTTCTTGGCCCCCTGGGCACTGAGCTGCTGGCTCAGTCCCTCAGTGCAAGGGCAGCAGTGGCCTCACGCTTTTTTGACCTGAAAGGTTTCAGCTGAAACAGCACTTGTAGGCCTGGACTTCCCCCAGAGACTCATAGAATTATCTGTGTTAGAAGAGACCTTTAAAGTCATCAAGTCCACCTGTCAACAGTGTTGATGAGGCATACGACAAATGAGAGGGGAAAAGAAAAGAAACTTATCTTTTATAAGGCCATTATCTCACACCGACTTCTATTCTCCATAATCTGCAAGCTGAAATTAATTTAGGACAATTTAGGATCAGATGAGCACCGAGGAGGTTGGCTAATGCAAGTGGTGTCATTTGAGTCTGAAAGTGACCCCGAGGACAAAACGAAAGATCAAGTTTCGTAAATAAATCCCCTGCGTTTTTTTTCAGGTTGAAACGAGAACCTGTTAAAGGAAACGATTTTCAGGGCCCCACGTGTTCAGACAGAAGCCTCTGAAGGCTGCAGAGTGGATTTCCTGGTTTAGGTGCAGTCAGGGCTGGGCAGGAAGCCACGGCCAAACCTCTGGTGGGATCCTGTGCGGCACCTCAGGCGGGCACTGCAGCAGGGCCCGGAGCTCAGCTCTGTCCCTCCAGGCTCTCAGCTGCACAGCAGGAGCAAACTGGTTCAGAACTGGGCAAACTGGGGCTGCTCCTGCCTGCCTGGGACCTGTCCTGAGCTAAAACAGGCTGAGTTTGCACTCGGAGGTTGTGTCTCCTGGATCAGGGCACAAATGCAGCTCTCAGGGCACGTTGTCCAGGACTCTGCCCAGGCCCTTCACATTGTCCTGTGTGTCTGGGAGCCTTATCCTTCTGCTCCTGATACAGCTTAGGGCACCCTGCACTTAATTGTGGCCTTCCAGTACCTGAAAGAAAGGTACCACAAGAAAGATGGAGAGAGATTATTTTCAAGGACAAGGGGGAATGGCTTCTCACTGGCAGAGGGCAGAGCTAGACTGCATATTAAGAAGAAATTCTTCCCTGTGAGGGTGGGCAGGCCCTGGCACAGGTTGCCCAGAGAAGCTGTGGCTGCCCCTGGATCCCTGGAAGTGTCCAAGGCCAGGTTGGACGGGGCCTGGAGCAACCTGGTCTGGTGGAAGGTGTCCCTGCCCAGGGCAGGAGGTGGAACAGGATGAGCTTTAAAGTCCCTTCCAACCCAAACCATTCCAGGATCCTACAACGATTCAATGATCTCTGAGGAGACCCACCAAGCAGCACATAACTGCACATACACCTCCAACTTATCCAGTTTTCTCCATTGCTCTTCTCCCAGGGATTATTCCAGGGCCTCCCCCTCCCTCCTTTTGGCCTTGGCCAACCAAATTGTTGCTTTTCCACCTTTTTCTCCTGGAGAGGATCACCTCCAGAGGCTTCCTCCCAGGCAGAAAGATAACATACAACCTGACTTTAATAAAGTAACCACCAGACTGCAAAGAGCACTCTGGCTCATTTCCCCAGGGAAGCAATGTTATTGCTTAAAATAAAACGTTTGAAATAAAACAAATGTTCACCTGCACTGTTATCACTTCAAATAAAAAGTGATTCTTCCAATGTCCCTGCACCTCCAGTTTTGGCCTCAGTTTCCCCTACACAACATTTCTGAGGGCTTCACCTTGCTGCTGATTGCTCTGCTCTGTTTCTCATGACATTCTACTCCAAACCTTTTGTTGCACACAGCAAGGAGGGTTAACTTCAATTTAAGGGGGAGCCTCAAGTCAATCTCCCCTCTTAATTTTGTTCCATGAGATTTGGGATAAAAGCCTTCTCTTCAAAGAAGCAGATTCCTCATAGAGGTCAACTCATATTATTTTTTTTTTTTGTCATTAGCAAGTTATTAACTGCAACCTCCCATTTCATTAATTACACAGCATCTGGAAGGATTTGGTCCCCACAGGAGGGGGGTAGACCAGAGACACTGTGAACCCAGTGAGTAAACCCCAGCCCTCAGCCAGTAAAACAGCCAAAATTCCCTGGAGTGGAGCTACTCTGGTCTCCAGAGGGAAAGCCTCATAATCCCAAACCTGTTTTTACATCATTTGGTGGCCTCTGTCTCCACACAAGCTCAGCATTTCACAGACCTTGGGTGCATTTATCCTCAAAACACTGATTTAACCTGCTCCAAGAGGAAAGCAAGGACCACTTCCACTTAACAGATTGTCAGAGGAACAGAAGAGATTTCCTCAAGGTCGTTTAAGACAAGAATGGAGAGGGGGACCTCATCAGAGCCTGCTCCCATCCTTCTTCATTAATACTGACACTTTAATTGTCCAGGAATATCCTGTGAGGCTCACGGAGTCCAAGGTCTCCCTTTTGTGTGCATAAACTCTCTCCTTGTTTTCATGTGCAGATGTGGCCACTGGACATCCCTCTGTCTCTGTGCCAAACCCTGGCTTTTGTGTCTTGGAGACATCACATTTTCCTGCTGCTGAGGGTGAAAACACGGGATCAAGGAAAGATGAGAGCACAGCACAAGAGCTGAACGATGAAACACGAGATTCTCTGAAGGTTTGGTGATTTATTTCAATCTAAGTGCTGGGAATGTGAGAAATTAGCACTCAAAAGTAACTGAAGAACGTGAAGGAAGACACAAAAGTATGAAGATACCTAAACAATCTTAATTTTGTCCTCTACTCATCCTGATCAGTAATTATGTAATCATGATTAAAGTGTTTTTGTTGTCATTCCAGATTATACTACTTAGCTTTTTAATTGTTAATGACAAAAGCCTCATCTTACCTTACTTATAAAACCTCATTTCCTCAAATATAGCCCCTATGCAAAACTTCAGGAATTTCAGCTGTGTAGAGGTTTCATTTTTCCCTTGCAAATATCACTCAGAACAAAGAAAAATAATAAAACAGGGCTCCCTTCTTAAAGAAATCCCTTTTAATCCTTATAATTCATAAAGCATCTTAATAGATTTCCTTTTAATTCTGTGAGAATAAGCCAGGGTGTTGGGTCCACAACCTCGACCCGTCTCCAGGAGCTTCTGTGGGAACCAGGGGTTTTATTCCAACTGGGCCACCAAGTGAGCAATTTCCTAATTCAAGATCTTTTGCTCCTTAATTCTCAAGGAAGGGTCTTTGGTTTTTGGTGTTTGTGGGTTTTTTTGATTTGTTTTGTTGTTGTTGTTTGGGGGGTTTGTTTGTTTTTTGTTGCATTACAAATATTTCTTAGAGATGCATGACTGGCATGTGGGGAGCAGAACTGAACCCACTTCTTAGCCCTGGACAGAAATGGCTCTGAAATGTGCCAGAGTGGGTTCACAAATTGTTTAAGCCTCTCTAATTGACCTTTTCTCCAACATGTTTGGGTTCTTTTAAAAAGAGTTTGCAGACTGCCAGTTTAAAAATCATTAAGCTGGAAGGTTTTCCTTCTTCTTCCTGAACTCAGGAGGATGGACAAGGTGAGAGGCAGCGCCAGGAGGACCGAGGAGTCCCCATTCCTCACCCCAGTGAACACATCCACGACCTTCTGCTGCACAGTCCCACTGCTTGTGGGGAAGAACCAGACAGATCCATGTGCAGAAATACCACTGGTGTGAATCACAGGTGATGTTTCAGGTGTGCTTAACAGGTCTAGCCTCACCTCTCAAGTCCTACAGGCAAGGATTTTGCAGTGCTGGTATGAGCTCCCTGTGTTGGGGTGGACAAGTCACTGTGTTTCTCCTCTTTTCTTCCTGAGAGAATAAACCCAAGCTAATCATCCCTCTGCCCCCTCTCTGTCCCACTGTACCAGCTCTGCAGATGGCAGATGGCTGCTTGCCACCATGGGCTGGGTTGGAGCCCAAATTGGCTGGAGCTCTTGGGGTGCTCCGGCACTTGCACAGCAATCCCAGGGAGGGCTGGCAGGGAACACCTGGATCCTACAGCTGGGGCAGTTGCCTTCACCCCTGGGAGATCTGCACCCACCTTACCAGGGAAAGCAGCAAGGAAAAGAAAATAAAGGCTGGGTTGGAAAAAACGTTGAGGGGGAGAAAAAGGTGAAATAACCTCCACTGCACAGCCTTGCAGGCGTCGCTCCCGCACCAAACCCCACAGCGCCTCCCCAGCCAGCACCGTTGCTAAGTGACAGCTGATTTACTACATCACTCACCCATCCGGCGGCAGCAGCAGCAGGAAAGCCAAGGAAGAGGTGCAGGCAGCGCTGGCCAGACCTCACCCTCAGCATGGCCAGGCAGTGCCTCATCCCACACCTGCACAGATCAAACTCCAGGTGAAAGGGAGCAGGCAGGGATTGGGCTGCGTGGCAGGAGCTGCTGGGCCCGGTGGGTTGTGCTTGGGATCACCAGGCAGTGGGAGAACTCAGCCATGGGCAGTTTTCTCCACATGTGCCCTGTCCTGCAACAGCAGCACCTAACGCTCCTGTGGCTGCCAGTGGTGCAACCTGTAGAAGGCTGAAGGGAAAAGATGCCCTCCTGCAAAATTTCCTATGCAAAATTAGCTGGGAGTGGGGTTGAGACTAACAAAAAAAATTCAACTTTCTCACCTGAACTTCAGCCTCTTCTGTATAAAAGGACTCAGGGAAGAGTCTTCTTGCAAAGGGCAACCCCACACATTTCATAGAAGCAGCGTAGGAAGAAAATCAACACAACCCCAAAATCTAATCCAACTGAATCAGCACATGTCTGTACAGAGCTAGTAAGAAGGTAGAGTACTGTACCTTTACTGACTTGGTGCTGTTTGTACATTTATTTATTGTCCTTTCCCCATGCAGCCGATGGACAGAGATGGATTCCTGCCCCCTGGCCTTCCTCGTGGCTCAGTCCAGGATGCAAAGGTAACACCAGTGTTTTTAGGACACCTCACACTCCAGTCCAGCCCATCTTCCAGCTGATCTGCCTCACCTGTGCCACCCACCTACCCATTATTGTGGTCTTTGAGACTAACACTGAGAATGAACCTCTGAGAAGCCAAATAATTTTGTGTTTGCAGCAGCAAACTCCTCACCTGGTTTTCTGCTGGTGAGAGAACAAGGTTCCTTGAAGGACTTTTGTCCGTAGACAGACATTTACACCCTCAACACCTTTTTTTCTCCTACTTTAGAATATTGTCCTGGTAATTTTAGTTTGGGTTTGTTTTTTTTCCCTGCCTGTAAGAACCTCTGACTAATGCACGTAAACTAGTTTCTTCTTTCCACACTGAAATGTTTGGGGGTTTTAATGGTTTGTTTAAACTCTGGCAGCTCTGCCTGCTTCCCTCCTGATCCCCAGCCTCCAAAGCCTATTCAAAGGGGGCTGTGAGCTCTCAAACTCTCCCTGGAAATGTTTGGGGCCAGGTGGAATGGGGCTTGGAGCACCTTGGTCTAGTGGAAGGTGTTCCTGCCCATGGCAGGGGGTGGAACTGGATGACCTTTAAGGTCCCTTCAACTCCAAACCATTCTAGGATTTTATGAAACACCAGTGGGTTTCAAGCCAGCTTGATACCAAAGAGGATCACTCTGTTAATAGATCCTACATCTCCCAGGGGATCTTTTTATCTATTTTATATTGGCTTTCTTCAGACTGTGAAATGGAGGTGTTAGGTGCAGCTGAAGCCCCCCAAGCCAGTTTCCCCATGGGACTCCAGAAAAGGGACTGGAATCTCCTAAGCGGGAGTGGGGGAACACACAGAGCACAGCTGCTCATGAACACTGAGTCTTGCATATCACAGAATCATTTAGGTTGGAGAAGACCTCTGAGATCATCAAGTCCAGCTTGTGACCAGTCACCACCTTGTCACCCAGCCCAGAGCACTGAGTGCCACATCCAGTCTTTCTTTAAACACCTGCAGGGTTGGTGACTCCACCACCTCCCTGGGCAGCCCATTCCAATGTCTAATCAACTTTTCTGTGAAGAAATTTTCCCCGATGTCCAACCTGAACCTCCCCTGGTACAGCTGAAGACGATGTCCTCTTGTTCTATGGCTGGTTTCCTGTAAGCAGAGCTGCAGCCTCCTTTCAGGGAGTTGTGGAGAGCAACAAGGTCACTCCTGAGCCTCCTCTTCTCCAGGTTAAGCTTCCTGTTCCATCTCAGTCCTGGGGATGCCGGTGGGTCACTGGTGCTCCTCTGTGTGCGTGTGTATAGAGGGGATGTGGATGTGTGTCCATACGTGGGATGTGTGCCCACATGTGGATGTGAGGATCGGCGAGTCTCTGCCAGGGCGGGTGCCCCTCTCTGCGCCCCTGGGGGTGGATGTGTGCCCGCGGGGGCGCGCACACGCACATCCATGTGTTTAGGTGCCCCCACGCGTGTGCGGGTCCCCGCGGGGAGCGCTCCCCGGGCCGTGCGTGGCGAGGGGCGGCCCCGTCCCCGCTCCCGCAGCCGCGGCGCCGCCCCCGCTCCCGCCCGGCCCCGCTCCATCCCTCCTCCCTCCTCCCCCCTCCCGCAGCCGCACCGAGCCACAGACCGCGGCGGGGCCGGGCAGGGCCGCACCATGACCGAGACCACCAAGACCCACGTTATCCTGCTGGCCTGCGGCAGCTTCAACCCCATCACCAAGGGCCACATCCAGATGTTCGGTCAGTGCCCGCGGCGCCGGGGCGGGGCGGGGGGAGGCCGGGGGGCTGCCCCCCACGGTGGGATGGGGGGTAAGGGGGGTCGGGGTGTGCTCGGGGTGCAGCCCCGCTCCCGGGGACCGCGGAGCGGCGGGGCCGGGCGCTGTCCGCGGCCGCTGGTGCTGAACCGCCCCGGCCTCCCCGACCTGGCCCCCCCATCCCTGGGGGCTGTCCCCCTCGGACAGCGGGGTTCGCCCCTCTGCACACCCCCCTTGTCACGCTGCCGCTCCGCACCCCCCGGGGTCGGTCCTGGCCGTGTTTGTCCCCCGCCGCTCAGCCCCGGGCTCTGCGAGCCTGCGGCCGCCGCAGCGCTTCCATCTCCTCTGGCCGGGGAGGACAGAGAGCCAGGCAGCCACAGCCAGGCTCCGAAAGTCAACAGAAATACAGGCAGTTAACTGAGATATCGGAGCACCCGACGTTTGGATTGATACCGGGTGTGAGGAATGGGAAGTGTTCGTGTGAGATGATGGGTATTACCGAGCATCCGTGCTATGATACAGATGATGGGGATGGTAAAATCACCGCCACAGTCTGCTCAGGCAAGACAAGAGGGAGGGAGGGAGGGGGAGAGAGATAGAAAGGGAGGGAGGAAGGGCAATCTCCATCAAAGGCAGTCTGACATACCATAAATACTGACGGTTCGGGTAAAGCTCGAAATGCCTGAAGATCCCTTATGCAAACAGCAACTCGCTTGGGGTGGGGAGGAGTCCTGCGAGGGTGAAGTGTCCACTGCAGACCACTGAAAAAAAAAGGAGAACAGAAAGATTAGCTCCTCTAATATCCCTTCTCGGAGTGTAGAGACAGGATCCATCCTTTATGTCTGATAGGAGGTCTGAGGCTGAGGGAGCAGATGCCGAAGGTCTTGTGCTGCCGCTGGAGAAGCATCCCTGGGGTTTCTAAAAGCTGTACATAAGTTTTTAAAGCACAAAAATAATTGAAAATCAGCTCGGGGTATTTCTACGTCAGACCTTGTTTTTGTAGACCATAACGAGTTGGGCAGGAGGCTGGAAAATGACGGCTTTCTAGATGCAGATGATCACATTGTTATCCCATTTCGTAAGTGCCTGGAAAATGTAGTCCTGGGCAACAACATACCTGATATTTCAGAAAAAATCCTACTCCTTAAGCCAAAGGAAATTACCAACAAGGATCAAGAGGATGTATTTAAAAATAAAAATAATAATTACATGAAATTACAAGGACTTGGTGGATAGAAGCCAACCACTGATGAAACAGATTTCTGTAAATCGCCTTCGGTCCTATTTTGATTAAGTAATACTGAAAATATCAATGCAGCCCATATTCAGTGGACTAAAAACCAGTAAGAAGATATTTTAGAAAATCAAGATTGGTGAGATATTAGTATGCAGTGGGTATTCTTATAGACTCGAAATGAGATTTTCTTTTTTTTTGCTCAGTGCTGTTCAGTATCTTTATCAAAGACATGAAAGGAAATATATAATCCCTGCTGGAAAAAAAGTGCCTGTGACCCCAGAGAGGTCAGAACAGCAATTCAGGCTGGTAATGAGGCAGTTGTGCTGCCTGGCTCGGGGTGTTTGGTGAAAAGGGCTTGTTCAAACAGCAAAGTCATATGTCCAGCGAGGAAGAACGCACATCCGACATCAACAACAGGCAAATGTCTTCTGCCAACCAGCGACGGTGTCAGGCACTGAGGAGGGATTGTACCCAGCCCACTGAATGCAAACTCTGTGTGGTGCTGGGAATACAGCAGCAAATGCGCTCCTTGTAGATACAAGCAGGGGAATATCAAGCAGAGGAAGAAAGGTTGTATTATTTTCCATGGACAGCATCAGCAAAACCCTTCTTGGAGGAGCAGTGACAAGAATTGCATTGGCTCCAGAAGCCAGGCTTTGTGGCAAGAGAGGCTCAGTCTGGATCCACCCTTTAAGATGTAAAGGGGCAACTTGATCTGCTTGGGGAAGGGATATGTGACATCTGGTGGAAGGGGGCTCCTTTAATCAGCAGAATTAGGGCTGGTGACACACCAGGAGCAGGGTTGGATCCTGCACAACTTCAAACTGCAAATATGGTGTGTGGGTTTGAGTGAAGGTAAATCAAGGAGTAGGAGAAAGTGCCTGGGTACCCGATGGATTCTCCATCACCTGAAGGCTGTGAATGAACACTCAGACTTCTTTCAGGAGGACATGTTCTAGCTCAGAGGATGGCTTGATGTAGAAATTTTCTATGCATGCATCCCGTAGAAATCCTGGAATATAAGTCTTGAGATACCTGTTAGGGACAAATGAGACTTCCACAAGGAAAAGACACAGAATTTGGCTTCTAAATCCCTGATCATTTTTATTTGAGGAACACTTCCCTCCAGGTCTAAAATAATAATTACATGAAGCCATGGGAATCTCAAACAAAATGTGTGTTACTCTTCTAGCTCTGTGCTGTAGAGTTCAATCAAAATAGTGCTCCATCCCGGAAATGTTGCATTTCAAACAGCTGAGTTTGTGCAAAAACCTTGTTTTTATCATTCAAACAAATACTTTGGTCTTTGAGAGCCCGATAGGAGAACTTTTTGCTTAACATAGAGAGATTAAAATTTATCTCTTTAACACATGGCACTAATTAAGACAGAAGGAAGTGCAGTATTTGCACGGGTATGTCACTGCAGACGTACCATTATATGCCAACCATCATTTTTCTCACTATGGATTTTACCATGTTTTATTCAGGCCAAAAGCCAACCTTTTCCCATAGGATTTTTTTGCCTGAATAGGAGATGGGCTAATTATGTGGAATTCTCTTCTAGTGGGGGAAAGGTTCCCACTGGGCCATTCTTTCCACCAGTCATGTGAATTTAAGGCTCATCATTATCCTTGGGTTTCCAGAAAGCTGGGATCCTTCCTACAACCCCAAATCTGCCAATTCAACGCACCACTGACCTTTGTGTCTGTGTGGAACTGAACTTACCACAGCAGGCTCCCTCCATCCTCTGCCAGTAACAACTCTGGGGCCCCCCAGATGAAGTTGGTTCATGCCTGTGTGTATAAAATGAGTATCACACATGTAAATTAATACTCAGCATAAGATACACAACACGTAACAAAAAAAAAAGTAGGTGAGATACAGGGCTGTACAGCCATCCTCACCAGGGGGCTGACACGAACACCCCACACAGTCCCGAAAACTCTCAGAGTTAGTTGTGGTATCTGCTGTGCTCGGAGAGATAGGTGTGTTCTGAGTCACAAATCTGAGTTGTATTTTCCAGCTTTACGTGGCTGTAAGGAAAAGCTTGGGATGCTACCGTGGCTGGGAGATAAGGCAGGAGGAGAGACAGGGGGAGAGGCTCTTTCTAAAGCTCGACACGAACACTGGTGGCCTTTCCCCTGAAATGAAACCGCCCTGCAGCCAGCTCAGGAGGGGAACCTTCTCCCAGGCATCCCCACGCTGGATTTCCCCCGGGAACACGGGATTTGCTGCCTAAAGGACATCTCCCTCCATCTTGGCCTCCTCACAGTTTGCCTCCCGCTTCCTCCCTGTGCAAAGGATGCCACCCAAAGGACAGAAGCCAAGGGACCAATGTCAAAAGCAAAACCCAATCCCTGCAGGTCTGCTGAATGTGCTGAATGCCTGTGCTGGCCCCCTGCCAGACAACGAGCCTGTGCTTGCTTTGACAATTAAATCATTTCCACACCTCGGCCCAGCTCAGGGAGCCCCAACACAACGGCGTTCGAGAGCTTGAAACCCAAAGGGCAGCTCTGCAGAGCAAGGCAGAAAGCACGTTTTTTTCAATCAAAAAAAAAACCACCCCCCACCCCCCACCCCGTGGTTCAGTTTGAAGGTGGCCTTGGATAAAATATTGGGATTAAAAAGGCATCACCAAGCAAGGTCAGAGGCTCCAGGGTTTGTGTGTTCCAGGACTGGAGAGGGAGCCAATAAAGTGCTGGAGCTGGAAGGAAGACTCCAAGATGAGCTTCTTCATAGCTCTGCAGGGGAATAGGCTCGTACTGTGCCACGGATATGTGAGAATCAGAGGGTTGTTCTGAGGATTTCTGCAGACAGAAATGAGGGATTTGGTGGGGAGACATGCTATCAGGTCCATCAAGATGTAGCGTTTCAATATCTTTTAATTCATTTTTCTTAAATCACAGAAGAAAAGGCCTCTATGTAATTGCCACATTCCCCATTTTGGCACATTAGACAGTTTTTTCCTTGCCTTTTTAGAGTTCTGAAATTCCTCAGAACCCATCCTTTCATGTGCAGACTTCTGGCTTCAATCAAACAGCCTTGCTGATCAAACAGGGTTTTATTTCTGCCCAGCTGTAAGAGCAGCCCGACACAGCTTCATCTCCAGGGTTTGGATCACCCCTCCATCCCCTCTTCCACCTTCTCTCATCAACCTTTGAGTAGCAGAACTTCACTGGGGACATCCCTGCCCTTGCAGAGGAAGGTTTCAGCTGTTATATTTTCCTCTCCTGGTGCCCATGAGGTCCAGCCATGTGGACTCTGTGGCCCATGGGGATGCTCAGAGCTGCACTCAGAGGCAGCAGGTTGGGTAACACCCCCCCAAAAAACAGTTGGGGCATTACTGTTTGTCAGAGGACTTTTTTACAGCTATTTTTTGGGCACTGTCAAGCATTCAATAGCAAAGAGGCAATTTAATTGTATCTTACCATCTGCCTGTGTCCTGCCTCTCATCTCCTCTGTGCTGGCTCACAGGGTTGCTCCAGGCACGTTCCTGCAGGAGGAAGGGGTTTGTGAGATGTTCAGTTGTGCCCTTCTTGTAGGGAGTCTCGGTACCTCAGACGTGTTTGGCCGTAGAGTTTCCCACCTGCTTCATTTCAAACAGTGCCAGGACCTGGACTTGCTCAGAAGAACATTGCTCATAGATGAGCTGAATCCTGAAAGTCAGCAAATCTCCCCTATTCTTCCCTTTTCGTCTACTTTAAATTAAATTTTCCCTAGATCCTACATGCATCTGTTATTGAGGGGAG